GGGCTGCTCAACATGGTCTCCGCCTGGCAGATGAGTCAAGACAAAAAAACGTGCTGTCCGCCTGTGGCTCTCCGGAGAAAGGCGTTTGAATCCCTGCTTCCAAGCTTGGCTCATGTTCGAATTCCGAGCCGTGGACCAGCTTCTCCGCTCCCGTGTCTCCAATGCGATTTCGAGCCAGGTTCAAGCCTGTACATCGACTCTATCGCCTGCAAGCTTTGGTGGCCATCGCTGACGCCCAGTCTTGGCGCGGGACGCTGCAGCTGGGTGCAGCTGGAGAGTGTGCCATAAAGCCTACCATGTCGTTGGTTGACATGTCTCTCCGTGATCCGACCCTGGTGCCAGGGGCTGGACCGGCCCATCTCCTCGTCTCCCCAGTCTAGACGCGCCAAAGGCATCTCAACGGCTCCGGCGACCAGATCCTAACTATAGTCGGCTCTCGCTGTAGGATTCCACATTGGAAGCTCGAAACGCATACCGTTGTTTACAGCTTTACAGGCTGGTGTATTGGGACTTTGCAGCCCTGGCATGGGGGTTGAGCTCTGGCTCGAGCGGGCGGCCGACCCAGCTTTGAGATTTCGGTCTGGACACGCGGTGACGGTTTCGCTGCGGCTTGGTCCTCGTAGGCTTCTTGGTAAAGTGTTCCAAGAAGATCCCGGTCGAGGCCTCAGCTTTCGCAGCTTCGTTTCACGTATCTCTCAGACTGTACAGCTGAGATTGCGACTCCAGGAGAAGTGTTTCCTCTGCAATTGCGCATGAAACTCAGAGGGCCTCGGTGCGACGTCATGCTTCCATTTTTTTGTGCGAAGCCCTGTGCCGACTGCTTGCAGAAATCGTGAGCGCAGGGCGTCAACGGCGGTGGTCTCCTGGCTTTGCAAGCGCGCAGGACGGCAGGCCTTGCAGGGTTGCTTTTTCAATGGGTGCTCTGGCAGTGCTCTGGTGGCAATTTGGGTTCCGAGCCAGTCGGCTGCTCGTAGTGCTTCCGGGGTCAGTCGGCCTGCTGCAAGGTGGGCGATCGGGCAAGGATGCTCATGCTCTCTGCTTTCGGCCTATGTCCAGGACCTGCTTGCTGCCAGCCGGCAGCAAGCTGACCGCCTGAGATAGTTATTCAAACGGCTGAGCCACAGGCTTGAAGGGTCAGTTCGCTATGGCATGCTATGGCCGTCGCTCGTTCGAAGGTTGGCCAGCCGCGTAGATTGAAGGGCTCCTGATGCAGTCGCGCCCTGACCACATGCTACTGTGAATCGCTGCTTGTCCCAGGCCCGGACTGCTCCGATAGGCGAGTTCGTGAGCATCCAGACCATCGTGTGCTCATGCCTCAGGGGATCTCTTTGGCTGTCGTCGAGTCTCTGCCGATAGGTTCTCGGCTCTCCTTGCAAGGTAAGGTTTGATCACCACACACACGCAACGAGGCGCTGGCGCAAACCATCGGCCAACCTGCAATACAGCACCGGCTGGCGAAAGCTTCCAGCGTAGCTCGAAAGCTGCTCTCAGGTTAGAGGCTGAAGTTAGTTGTGCTCAAGACAGGTGCCCGTGGGGCAAAGGCCTCGCGTGCTCGATGAGGAGTGTTAAGACTGTTAAGACCTTTCATAAATGCTTCACTACCCGTGCGACCTACAAATGACTTAGGGCAAACTCCAGCCCTGTGGTTCAGGGGGTCGACGCTTGGAGACTCACAAACTCTTCGACCACGAGCCTGCTGCAGAAAGCGTTCGGCAGAGCGCCTTTCATCTGCAAATCGAGGCTCCTGCAACGATAGAAATGCGTGAATTCAGAACTTTGAGCTTCCCAAGCATGCCAAAGGCCGAGACACCTGAAAACAGCTGCACCAGTCCAAAAGCACGGCGCAGTCTTTCCTGTCCCGCTGCTTTCAGGTGCATGAAGCCCACCAGCACATCTGCAATGCTTGCTATTCCGGCACTGCCGAGCATGTGCTGTCCCATGCTGTCCCCCAGGTGCAGCTACGGATTCGGTTAAAATGGTCAAACAGGTCGCCGATTGCTACCAAGTTCGGTGCCCCCTGATTCGATGAGATGTGACCTTGTCCCGTCAACTTTACTGTAGCATATCCTCTTGTCTCCCGCCCTCTGCAGTCAGAAAAGCGTGCGCTACTCGGGAGTTTCCGAAAATTAGGGGTACCTTATTTGGGGTCCAAAAAATAAGGATCCTACTATTTAGGGTACTATATTAGGGTCCCCTATTTTCGGAAACCCCCACTCGTCCTCCACCGGACACTGCAAGGAAGCGACGGACGGAAGCCATGCCTTCGGGCGGAGCAGGAAGATGGCCCCTGGCGCAAATGCTCTCTGATAAGGTTTTGGGGTATCTTATACTATCATAATAATAACAACAACAATAATAACAATAATAACAATAATAATAATAATAATAATAAATATAATAATAGTAATAATAACAATACTAGCAGTACTAGCAATAATAATAATAATGATAATAATAATAATAATAATACTACTAATAATAATATTGTCCCAAAGGTTTGGAGCCTCAGGCTTCTCATCAACCTGCAGGGCACCGCCATCGTGCACCCCTCTTGCTCACGTGAGCATCGAACCGCAAGCTCGCCTCGTCTCGAAAAGGCTCGTCCTGGGAAGGGATACAGCCCTGAATCTGAAAGTCAAGAACCGTTCTGACGAATCACAAACATGATTTAGGACTGCCGCACCGTGACTGTCCTGACTGCACATGCTCGGGCTGTGGAGGCTTTGCGACTGTTGCCTCGGAGGGGGAGACCGACTGAAACTTGCCATCGGTCTCCGACTTTGATCACTCGGCTCCTCGCGCTTCGGTGTCCGGAGCTGAGAGCCAAAGTTCCAGCAGCCGGCCCAGCACACGCAGTTGCTGTCCCTGGGAGTCTCGCTTGCGTCCACGCTGACGGCCAAAACCCTGGTCGAGCCTCTGGATCTGCATGGGCTGCAGTCGCCCAGCAGTACGACACCTGGAATCCGCACGCATGTCACCCTGCGACCGCGTCATCACTCGGCTCCCGCTGGCGATCGTCGAAGCGTCGAGGGCAGGGCTGCCAGGAGCGGCATTCCCCCGCCAACATCCGCTGCATCGCAAATGGCCTGAAGCGCAGAGAAATGCCGCGGTGTCCCTTGCTAGTGCCGCTCTTCCCTGCTTCTGCGCTAGGTGTGTGCACCTCCGAGGGTAGCTGCTGCCGTCGTGGCAGGACTGCACCTCGGGCTCGCGTCAAAGAAACCACAGATAAGCAAAATAGGGCCAGCGGCCAGCATTACAACGGATGGACAAACTCTGTTTCGTGCCGTGAAGGCCTCGCTTCCCTCGGGCGAGCTCTGCCAGCCAGGATCCGCGCACCTGAATGCAATCTTGCAACACCGTGGTGACCACGGTTTCGAAGCGAGCTGAGTCTCGAGGGGCTCGGATCCCGGCAAGCACAGCATCTCCTTCATCAAGGGACTTGGCCAGGTCTGTGCGGCCTGGGTTGAGCCACAGTCAAGAACACGGTGCGGCTTTGGGATTGAGGCCAGGGCTGGTGTAAGATCCACCTTCTACACGCCAGCTGCCCCTACCGGATATCCTGACCTGTCACTGTCGAGGTCTCCAAGCAAAAAGCAGGCTTGTGCAGCGAAGCAGTCCTGTGCAAGCGGTTCCTGCGGGAAGCAATCCTGAATCTCATGTAGGACAGGCAGCCGGGCAGCATCACAGCGCTCTCTGGGTCGTCGGACTGAGAGATCACTCGAACAGTTGCTGCTGCTCTCCAGCTCCTGTCAAGGCACCGTTGAACTACTGCGATGTAGCAGCTGTCGCTACTTTGCATCACTACGAGACTGGTTTTCGAAATTGTTCGAATCACGAGATGCACTTGTGCGAACAGTTTACGATCTCCAGGCCTCGAAAGGATGCAACAGGTTCTCAACCGGCAAGATCTCTGTGATCTCATCCACCTACAAAGCACTTGCAAAGTGTTGCCCAGTTTCGAAGTCGCAATGCGTGAGTATCCTCAACACTTTAAACTGTATCTAGAGAATGCAGCGACAACTGTCTCGAGCTGCTTCCCGGCACGTCACGACTTCCAGTTCATGTTCGGGGAGCTTGCAGAGCACGAAACCAAGCAATACAAACGAACTGTGCGGACCTCGCCTGGCGTACGACAGCAGCCGTTGTGGCATCGGTCTCACCAAGAGCTCCTGCGCAAGGTGGCAGCCCACGACTGCAGGTCCGATCGCTGCCAGGTGCTACCCATCCTGACGAGCAGCAGCACAGACCTTGCCAAGCTCGCAATATCTCGACACCGAGCACCCAGGCAGCCAGCACACTCACCACGGTCAAACATCTCAAAAATGATACGCTGCGCGGCTGCCCTGCCTCCGCCCCTCCCCTTCTCGGCCCTGTCGGCTTCAGCTTCGACATTCCTGGCTGGCGAGTTTCAGATGTATGGATGCAGACTTCGTCTTGAAAGCCAGCGGCATTCCACGACTTCCGACTTGCTGGTCTGGGAGCCCCCACACGCCAGTCTCCGACGGCCTACACGAGTCAACCCGGTCTGCGCATCCAGAAAGAGCTGCGGCATCAAATGCAATCCGCCTCTCCGCGGAGTTATTCGCCTCAACAGGCAGGCCGGCTTGAGTTGCTCCAAGATTGCTTTCAGCCCTGGGAAGAAATGTCTCGACTCCTGAAACACTCGTGAATGCAACTGGACTGTTCATCGGCAGTCTGGACAAGACCTACAACTGTGCACAAATCCTCTGTAAAGTGTGATTTCGTCTTGGAGGTGAGGTGAAACGAGTAGCTGTCGTTGAGGAGCTGGCTCCCATGAGCTGCACATGGCATGCAGAGGGACTCCGAAAGCAAACACATCATCTGCTTGAGATACGCTGCAGAAGTGCTCGCACGTTTGCACCCGTTACACTAGCATGACACCTTGTCGTGGAGTTGGTGACTGCGCCAGTAAACAGCGACTCGTCGCAGTCTTTCTGCCCACTTGCCGAAAATCGATCCAGCTGCTACGATCTGACACGTCACGTCAAGTCTATCTCACCTGCAAGCGAGGAAGCTTCGAAGCCACGAGCGCAGCTCCGCATCTGCGAAGCCTGGCCTGGCTCTGCATCGCTCCGCGGCCTCGGCAAAACCGTTCGTGGGTTTTTCGAAAGAGGCTTCCTGTTGCGGTCTGGTCTGCGCCTCAGTGTCCGAAGCAGTCTCTTCGGCGTCAGGAGCGATGTGCCCCCCACTATAACCTGCATCGCAGCAACACCCCTCGCCGGAGTTTGGACTCGAAGACTCAACGCGACTAATCTTGGTCACAAAGGTCTACATTGAGTCGACATGCTGCTGCAATTATGTCGTCGCGGACGCACTTCGTGGCCTGTTTAATATACCAACAACAGAGATCGGCAAAACATTGCAGGGACATCGCAGCGCTTCGCCGCACCTCGGTGCCCCGCGGCATCTTCTGCTCCACCTGCCAGGGAAAGCAGAACCTGCGTACAGCACTCGAGCTCTCACTGTCCTCCGCCGCGACTCTTAGCTCCGACAGCGTGAAGCCGCCGATCCTCACGTCGTAGAAACTGCTCTGCCAGGAATGACCGGGTAGAAGTGCTGAGAAGCAATGGGGGGCCCGGCACGAAGACCACGACCCGATGAGAAACTTCTGCGTGCTCGCTTTCAAGCCCGCCTCATGCGATGCTACTGATCAGGGCTGCATACCACTCATCTCGACAGCACCTGAAACACTGGTGAAGGACCAGTCATCTTTGGCCTGCGGCAGGAGACGTGGAGACTAATGCGGCGGTCGATTAAGTAAGTATCATGGGAGTCAGTTGTGCTTATTCAAGCCGGTACAATTTAAAGAGGGGGTGGCGTCCACAATGTTTTTCTTTTTGCAGGCTGATGTTTTTTGTTTGCCTCCTTTCTGCTAGTGGTCAATCTTAAGGCACCCACGACCTAACTAACCACCCTCCAAACCCTACCCCCCTGAACCCTAAAACCTAAAACCCCCTCCGAACCCTGAGACCCTGGCCCTGAAGCCCGAAGCTCTCCCTAAATCCGAAACCCTCCTTAAGCTGAGGCCCCCTTAACCTCAAACCCTACACCCGCCTGAACCCTAAAACCTGTCAAGGCAACCCAGACCACAAGCCAAACTTAGTCAAAGCCACCCAGACCCCAAGCAAGGTTCAAACCTCTCGGACCCCTCAATTCTCTTGAAACCTCGTCAAAGCCAACCCAAGCCCCCAACGTACCGAACCAAGGTCAAGGGGGGTCACGGGTAACATCTTCAAGAAGCCAGCCGGAAATGGTCGGGGGCCGGGGTGGAGGGGGGGCTTTTTCATTTAGACCGCCACATTACCGAGAGACACCAGGGGTCAAAATCTGTGCACCGCAGGACCACAGCCTGGATTACTGGAGCGCCCAGAGGCTCGGCAGTTGCTGCACCGGCTTCCCGCAGGCCTCCAGCAACGTCCGCCCTCACATTTCCGTGTCCTGTAAAGAAACGAGCCAGCGGCCAAAGTCATCCCTCGGCCAGCACAGTGCAGTGACGGATTGGCTGAGAGCATCTCAACTGCAGATGCTCAGGGCATGTCGCCGTGCTTTGGAGCACCGGAAACTCCTCCGTATGTTCCAGGCACTGTAATACAGTCGTATAAACAACACCTGGTGCCGGTAGCCGGTAGCCCCGGTAACGCCTCCAAGCTTAGCCGATCTTCAACAAGCTGCTCCAGGATCTCCTGGGGCACATCTGGAAGACAAGCAGCTCAAAAGAAACGACGGTGTTCGCTTCTGAGAGCACGGCCTTGAGGCGGGGCTCGAAGCGAGAAAGCTCGAAACGACCCTCGGCCTTGGCGACACTCCAATATCTAAAAGGACTCGCTTTTAGCATCCACAAAAAATGTTGTGGCTTTTCTCCTTCTGAAATACTTTCAGTATTCCAACGACATTAATCAGTTCCCTGCCACCGCGTTCTTCTTGAACCTGGCCGCCTGGCAGGGTACCGCATGCCAAATGGCCCGGAGTGATTCAGAATTCATCAGCCGCCAACTTGCGAAAAGCACCTGACCTGACTGCATTCATGCTGGTCAACTTTCCATCACCGAGCAATGGCGAAACCTTCTGAAAGAGAGCAATGGGCCCTCATCACTCACCCTGAGTAAGGTCGATTCTGTACAAAAGCACAGGCGGTGAGGGTCTCCAAAAGAACGGCAAAGCATCGATTCATCGATGTGATACGTCATTCTGTGCAGATGTCTTTACATTTCGAAATCGCTCATGGTTGCCAAAGGGTCAAGCAAGCTCCTGAGTCTTTGCCTCTCCTTCTCTTGGTACATCACTCGGGGCAGCCGGACCAGGCTGGAAGAAATCGACGCAAGGAGTCCAAGGAAGAGATCGTGAACTCCGCCTTTCACGTCGTTCAGAGACACATTGCTCACACATCCTCATTACGACAGTCTTTAGAAGGATTTGGCCAAAGCTTTGAGGGGACAGGTATGAGAGAGTTTTCGGCCTGGCCTTGGCTGAGAGAGACTGGTGGTCTCTGGCGCCTGCAGGGTATCCATTGCCATTGCTCTGACCTTCCGGGCTCGGGGGGCTTTGCTACTCTGCAAGACAAGGAAAAAGCATTGCAAGCCTCTGTTCTTTCTTGTGTCGTGGCTCTACTTGGGGGGACTCTATCTTGACCCACGACCCGGCCTTCTGAGTCTTCACCTACCAGCATGGCGACCGGACAGCACCCAGCGGCTGCAGCCGTTGCTAGATAATCGTGCGTAGCTCCAACTGCAAGAACTTCGCGGGGCGAGATCCCGATTGAAGAAAGGCTAGTCGCAAAGGCCTGCGAGTCACCCGACTTTACACAGAGTACGCTCAGCTTGTCTAGCGTGGAGAAGTCCTTGGAGGTGTCCGCCTTGTCCGACACTACGCAAACCCGTGCAGCAGTGCTAAGGCTCTGCAGGATATCCTTGCAATTGCCGTCCCCGACCACTGCATCATGAAAAGCCAAACAGGCAAAGTTGAGCGGTGGAGTTAGCTGGCATCGAAAGCGGATGCTTGGCGACTCAATCGCGACTTTGGACTCAATAAGTCGCAACTCTGGAGGGACACGCTTGTCGCCAATCATCTGAGCACTGGAGGAGGCCATTGTCTTCCTGATCACTGCCTGCAGCACTGCGCCGGCCTTTTCCAGGGCCAAAGGCAGTTCATGAGGCTTCCTCTGCGTCCATGCGAGTATCATTGCAGCGGTGAGGTCGCCAGTGCCGGTGAAAGGTCCACCCTCTACACGCGGCAGCCGGAGCATCCACTTCCGACCCGAAAAGGACAGCATCATGGCAACGTCCTGCCCCTCTCGCGTTGCTTCTGGCACATCCAGTGTTGTCAGCACCACTATCTTGGGTCCCATCTGATGTAGCGTGTCACAAGCCGCAGCTGCGTCGTCGATACCAGTAATACTCATCTGGGTAAGTAGTTCTGCTTCAAACTGGTTTGGTGTCAGGACCGAAACATGCTGCAAGACATCAGTGCGATACACTGCGACTAAGTCTTCGGGAACGTACATGTGCCCATTGTCTCCTAGGACTGGATCACAAACATAGCAACAACTGGCTGGAAGCATCTGGCGCAGCTTGAGAACCTCCCTCAAGAAGGATGCGGTGCCAATGTACCCCGTCAACAGGAAAGAATGATTGAGCACTTGATTAGTGGACATGCCCTGAATCAGTGTCTCAAGATCATCACCCGAAAGGCGCTGACCGGCAAACGAGGGATAGCCAGTGTGGCAGCAGAACTGAACAGAATTGATCACGTCTACCTCGAAGCCCAATAGCTGGAGGGGGAAGACAGCAGCACGGTTGCCCACATACCCGTGGACGACGTGTGACTGAACACTGAGTACACGCGGCAAGGAAGCCATGATCCGAGCGATAGAACAGAGTGCACGATTGACAGTACCGGATCTAAGTGTCGATGTAGTTGGTCGCATTCTATAGCATTCTTGCGTCTTCTTGGATCTGGGTCCAACAATCTTCATCAGCATCTGCAAAGCTGGTGATCCGAAGGCTGCGGCTTGCTCCAATGACTCCTGTTGCTGGCCCCCCCGCACTTCTCAGCAGCCTCAGCATCTTGCCTGCTGCTTCGTAACTCGGTGAGAGCAGCCGCTGGCATGCTTGTGCCTCTGCGACTCTGGAACCTGCATGTGAAGCTCTCAGAATCAGTGACAGGATGCGCCATGAGAGGCCGGCTTCCATCAGGCGAGTGCGCAGCATGTTCATCAGAGCCTGAGAAGCACGCGACTTGCAGCTTTGAGTCCTGGGCTGGGGCCCAAAACCTGTTGGTCGTCTGCTCCCAACTGTGCCACGTCCAGCAGCTTTGATCGGCTTGCCTGTCGCTACGCCATGAGCCATGCTATGCAATACGCCGATGAGGCTTGCGACTTCGCAAGGATGGAAGGACTGCCTCGGGCACGTTGGCCACACAGGCCTCCGCTGTGGGCAGGTGCGCTTCAGCTTTTGGCGGGCGCACTTGCAAATCCAATGCTATTTTTGTTTGAGGCTGCTAGCTGAGACGGGCACGAAGAAAAGCATCAGCAAGCGAAGCTTCACCTCGCTCGATAGCTCCGGACGGTCGGTGAGAATCCTGCACAATCAGCGCAGTCCAGAAATATGCTGAACAGCTGTCTTTGCAACTCCTCTGCAAGGTTGTCTGGAGATTTGTGATCTTCACATCCTTGCCAGAACGATCGATTCCACAGGCAATGTCCTGCACAGTAGAGAAAAAGAACACGGGCCCGGGCGGTAATCGGTCTGGCTTGGGGGTGCGATATGTTGCGAGAATGGGGCGTGAGCGGTTGTCTTCGTCAGCATCTGCCTCCGGGCCTTCCGCCTTTCATGCCCTCTACCAGCTGTAGCCAGCCCAGAGATAATGAGGCTCGTGAGCAAGGGAGCATCTGCTTTGGAGTGTCCTGCTCCAGCAGACCCAGGTGAAGGGGCTCCAGGATCTGTTCCGAGTTGAGGCGGCTGTGGATCTGCCTTCAGACCGAAGAGGCATCTCTTTTTTTGTTTGGGTTGACGTGGGTCTATGTTGGTCCGATCAGCTTCAGGCGTGATCATCGCCAAATGAAGTGCCATGCGGTCGACCGCATCACGCCTCAAAAACTGCAGAACCCCTGCTGCCATGCCAGAATCCCCTGAAGCATGTCGAGACGAAGACATCTCAGGCGCTGCACGCAGTTGATCCAGCATTGCCTACGCTGCACAGAGAGACTGGGACCGGAGCTTCCAGGCATCCCTCAGCTCGCTGCCCGGGTGCTGATCGCCGTTGCGTCCTGCTGCACATTCTGGCCTGGTCTCGAATCAAGGCTGTGCCAAAGCGGTCACGGATAGTGTCGTAAGCAAGGAACGCTTGACTTCATCCACCTTAGGCCGGATTCCAAGTACCCCAAGCATTCCAAACCATCGTGCAGTTCTGTGAAGTTCCCACCTTGACCTCGACGAGCTCTCTCGCTGCCTCCAGGTGCATATACTTCAGCTCCTGAGCCGACAGAGAAAACAACAAGCATGAAAAGAGGCACCCGAAATGAAAGCGACAGTGGCCTCCCATAAGGGGTCCGCCAACAGCACCTCCTTACTGTGTCCTGCAGGCAGTCCGCAGGACTGAAAACCCTCCAACCAAAAAAGGACCACGAAACGACATCAGCATCTTAAGACCAGCCCGGCTCCTCCGCTGTTCAGAGTCACAATGTTCCGATCTGCATCCAGCATGTTGCCGTCGAGCAGATCAAAGACGCAGGCCTCCAATGCCAGACAGGGTGTATACTTCAGACGCAGGGTTGTTGCCGCTTGTACAGGAGCCTCATAAGAGTATTCGTGAACGAACGCCGCCGCCATGTCAATCGAGCGGTCAAGAATAAGCAGTTGGCCTTGCATCATCTCCTATCTGATTCTTCACAGCATGCGCCGACAATCGGGTCCCAGGCAGGGTTTGCTGTGAGACTGAGTAGTCAAGCTTTTGTGCCTTAGTGTCGCTTTGTAATCAACCGTTGAGTCATCGAGGACTGCTGCAGCAACTATCCATCGGAATCTCGTATGAACCTCGTCTGGGTTGTCCACATGCTGAGTTCGCGCTGAACTCTTTCTGCCACGTCCTGGCCTGATTCAGCGATTCTGTCAGTCTGCGACATTCAGAGCAGATGCCTTTTGCAGTTATTGGCAATGCTCAGTCACAACCGGCCGCAAGAATCAGGGGCAGACATAAGTCAGATTGAAACCGGATCACTGGCGATGTGGCCTCCAGCCAATGAGTCTTGCAATGTCGAAAGGTTGAGTCGCGAGGTGCGTTGAATCGATCTTGACACTGTTCACCCCTGACTTTCTTTTAGCATGACTCACCTCTAGAATGAACACTGCTGCTTTTTAAGCTCGTCATTGCAGTCGGAGGCCACCCCAACAGCACACGTCCGTTTCCCTCACGGGTTTACTGCTCCTTGTTGTACTGTGTTAATCAATTTACTGCAGGCCGAAGGTATCAATCTTGCCCGTGCACTACTCTCTCCTGCCTGCAAGCATCGGCACACGTCCACCAGCTTCTGGACCGTGTCTGACAACAGCTGCACATCAGGCCTTGGACTCGGATAGATTTCTAAATACCATAGCTCTATGATACTATGCTACGCCGCTACACTTTCCCACCCGACTGTATACGACCACCGCTGGGTGCTGTGCTCCGGAAAAAGCCCCATGATCGCCTCGGGGGAGTCGAAGTGGAAGCCTCGATCCTGAGCCACGTTTGCTTTCTTTCCCAGGGCTGTGGTGGGGAGGCAACGTTTGCTCTCGCTCTCTCTCTCGCTGCAGGCTCCCGCTCTACCGTCTGATGCGATCCGCTCTCCTGTACAACCACGAAGCTCAGGGGCACTTCCACAAAAGATTTCACCTGAGCAGATGAAAAGCAGATAGGAGCCCTCAGCCACCCTCTCCGCTGGGCCGCGGGCGCGCGGCGCCAGCACGGGGGCCTCAGCTCGCGCCACTAGGAGCGCTCGCCATAGGCTTCAAGAACAAGAATCGGTGCAACACGTGCCTCAACGAGCTTGGAGAGGAGCGTGGATTCCAGCGGCTGTGAGAAGCAAAGGTGCACCTCGGCTCCGACTTTGTCCTTGGAATCGACGCACAAGTAGCTGCGACATCTCTTCAACTCCAGCCTGTCGGTGCTGCGGAGCTGTCTTGAAATCCGCTAGAACCCGCTCGATGCTTGCAGCCTGCGGCCTGGCATTGCATCTTCCGAAGACTCTCCCGATCTTACCGTTTACGAACCTCAGGAAATACAGCGCATCCAGCCCAGGCCTTGGAATCCGCGCCCTCTGCCGGCGTCCTTCCTGCCTTCCTTATCAAAACTCCTTGGTATCCGGCAGAGGCTCTCTGGACTCCTCCAGCAGCTCGACGCTGGTGACACCCTGAACACGTCGTCTACAAGATGCTCTACGATGCTACGCGGAGCAACCCATCCTCGGAGTGCAAATCGCCCATTCGCAGGAACGAGTTGAGCACCTGAAGCCGCAGTCTTCTGCGCAGGCCCTCTTTTGCCCTGTGGAGATGCAGCCACGGAGCTCGAAGCGATGCAGCATCCACCACCATCTGGAGCCGGTCTAAGCCTCGAAGGCTAGGTTGGCATTTCAAAAACCCTAGTCCTTGAGAGTTCCACCTTGCGCCTTACAATCTCAAAAACGGAGCAAGCAACACGAGTTTTCTACAGTTTGCCCTGGTCTCCTCCGAAGCTGAGGGAGTAGCCATCTCCGCCTGCTTTCAGTGCTCGGCGAAGAACGACCTGAAAACGAATCCGAGGTTTGGCACTGCTTTGCATCCATCATGAAGGATGATTACGATAGAGTAGAACAAGGCAGATACATGGCCTCGAGAACGAGCTCTCGGCAAGTGCGCCTTGCATCAGGTCTGACGCCCAACATGAATGCAGACTGGTGCCGACTTCGGGCCCGAGGAAGAAGAGGCATTCAGTGCCTGGCCTCAGGGACATCGCTCAGGCCCAGGTGACGACGTTGACAAGGTCCTCCCACTTGGAAAACCAGGGGCATCCAAAGGTGGCAGCTCAAGGAATGGAGAGGGCCGGTTCCTTCGAAGATCTCAGCGGCAGCTAGATGCTGCATCATGCCAACGCACTTGCATAGGTTGGGCCGATTTCCCTTGTGAGCGATTGAAGTAATTATGCGTCTGCCTTAAATCTGAGTGAGTAGAGTCGAGCTCTTTGCGTATAACATGGTCGAATTCTTGCTTGAACAAGAATGATGTCGGGTTCAAACCATGCTGCTTTCAAACATGCTCATCGTGGGTCGTGCGCAGAGCTCCAGCTACAGCCCAAGACCCACTCGACTGTGTAAGCCACTGTATTTTCAGGGGCGGAACCCACGAGTGTTCACACTAAGCTGGACTGCCTTCGGCGCCAAGCGATGAGGCTTCCAAAGAGGAAACACTTAAAGCACAACCACAGCACTGCGAGTTATGACGAGCCCCTGTAGCCTGAGGTTCAATGGATGCGCCGTGTCGTGGATCTGCTCATATTTTACGTTTGGTGTGTGAGACTCATTGTTCCAAGACAGCAGCTCCGATGTTATCGTGAGCCGCCGGCTTCGGGATTCTCCTGGCATGTGAAGATGAAGCGATGAAGCAGTCCGCAAAGCCGTGGGCTTCTCATGGGGTGCGGCCCAGCTGCCCCTTGGGTCTGGCCAACGAGCAGCAGACGTTTCTCCGCCGCGCGTTGGAAGCCATCTCCACCCTGGCGCAACGCAAAGGCGAGACGTGTTGGCAGGCCTTTGCCCGTCTTAGGCTTGAGGTGGCGCGCCTCTCAGGGTCGGCCAGTGTAGGGTGACCTGCCGGAAGCTCTGTATTCTCTTTTGTCAAAACTACGAGACAGGCCTCAGAAGAAACCCCAAGCTTCAGGCTTTAGTCTCGGATTCCTCAGGCTCAGGCCCAGGGGGCCCACCCCGTGGAGTAGAGCGACCACTCTGCTTTCCACTTGCCTCGACGTCAAAAAAACAAGAACACCCAGATTCGCATGTTTGACGTTCCGGGCGACTTGGGCACATGCCGGACCCGAGTATCTGGACGACTCAAGAGGTGGCAAGTTCTGCGATGCGCTGTGCAACCAGGGCAGTGTCAGCGTACATGGAAGTGATATGCAAAGAGGCTAAAGGGCTGCCTGCACGGAACCTTCGAGCTCTAGGACCGGCTGTGGTGCCTGGTCAACCAGCTCGAGCAAGGAGTCCAATCTCATCTAACTTTGCCTGCCTTGGCCTTTGCCGCCCCTTTGGGTTTGCCCTGGCCACATGAGGATTCCAATCAAGCCGGAGACAGCCGAGTTGGCAGCATCTCCGTCGGGTCCCTGCCTTTGTGTTCTTCTGCAGTTGCCGAACCTTCTGCATGATTATTCGGAGCTGTGCCTGTGCCGGGACACTTACGTGGCATCTCACCGCAGGAGGAATGGCTACACTTGGGCCAAAACGTCTTTCTCCTCGTACATCCGGTCTTTCGACGCGAGTGAACGCTCCAAGTTGACCTCTACTGGTAGCTTATAAGTGTTTTACTTGCAGGATCCGCGGCCAACTCGTGGCTCCGGCGTTGTCCTTCCGCATGGTTTCCACTACCTGGCCCCAGGGTTTGGGGTAGCATGACTGTTCGAGCTTTGCCTTGGCCCACTCCGAGGAAGAAGCCATCATGAGCTTTTGCATGCGCTCCATGAGCTTCAGGTTTTTCTGCCTAGATATCACACGCGGTTGGCCTGGACCGCATTGTGCACTTCCATGCAACACCGTCTTGGTGCCGTGCTCTAGGCGATCTCGCATGAGCTTCTCCTAGCCAACAAGCAGGGATTCAAGAAGCGCAACTTGGCGACAGCACCAAGAGCCATCCGGTGCATGCGAACTGACAAAAACCATGTGACCAGTCCCAGCAGGTTCAAGCCTTGTGGAGCTCGTAATGGGAGACGATGAGGGCCTCGAGCCGAAGATTTCTTTGACTAGTGAGTCTCTCTCTTCACGTTTCTGTTGCACCAGACGGTGCCAGATCGCCGCATCGGAGTTCGCAAGAGTCTGAGCTCGAAGCACTGTCCTTCGCAGCAGCCTCCGTGCGCAACGCATCCAGCACGCCATCATCGCCTCGATTCATCACGAGCCGCAGCCTTTGGTGCCTGTGCAGCGGCTTGGCCTTTCCAGCTGAGTGTTGCACCGTCTTTACCTCCACGAGGACTTTGCCTTCAAGTCTTGGGAATCCTAGCCGGGTCTTGGAGGCCACGGCCCGAGGTGGGAGCTGCTCAAGCTGACGGTAGTGCATGATATCCACCTCGAGCACAGGGAGTGATCTGCTGAAGCGAGCTGGGACAGGTCGCGAACCTCCTGATGCTTGAGGACTTGCTCCTTTTCTTCAAGTTGCTGCCGGGCCTGAGAACATCCAGCAGCCGGCTGTTGCTGAAGAGTCCAGGAGGCGTGGCCCAGGCCTCAGTCACCTCCTGCTGTAAAGACTTCATGTCTTTCATGACCACCTGCTTCTCCTGCCAAGTTGCAGAGTGTCTTCCCCAGGCACAGGCCTCCCATCGAAGTTGCCTCCAGAAGCTGGTCGACCTTCTGCTGGTGGTACTCGAGGTCCAGCCTCGGCTTTTACAGGCTGCACTAGTTACGACGTGTTTCTACTGCAACCTCGCGGCTGAAGGTGCCGAATGTCACTGACCAGATCAGCAATTTGCTGTGCTTGCCGTTGGTCTTAGGCAATGATCGGGTGCGTGGTGTCTGCCAGCCCAACGTTCCCGCGAGTCCCGATGTCAAGGAGCTGGCTCTCGGCCTGCGCTGCTGAAACAGCAGCCTCTGAGGCTGCAAGCTTCTCGTTGGCCTCTGCTGAAACTTTGCAACGGACACAGGGATTGGGAACTTGCTTCAAAAACGGGCAGTCCGTGTGCAGACAAGTCTCCCCGCCACCGGCCTCCGACACCCGGCTTGCTACCGGAACAGAAGCACACGCACGGCGGGTCCCTCCGGTCTGCCAGCCTCCGCCTGCTCCTTCTCGGCGCGAAGGCTAGCAGCCTGCCCATCTCTGCATGAGCTGTAGAACAGACGCAGGCCTTTCTGATTCAGGCACATGAACAAAAGCCTCGGTCCGAGAAAGCGTGAGCTCCGTGTAGAGGTGCGCAAGCCTGTGATCTGTGGCTACAACGGCGACGGCGGCAGCGGAACGTACAGCGAGACCACAGCTCGTCTCCGGGGCTCCCGGCTGGGTGTTCAGAACCGATATCTGCTGATATGCAGCTCCAAGCAGCGGAGGCTCCTGCCCATCGCCGCTCCGCTGCTTAAAGAAGCTCGGGCAAACATCAGCAGCTCCTCCGACGCTGTTGCTGCGAAACCTGAACGTTTCACGTAACCAGGCGCAGACCCCACGCGAGGCAATCGGCTTAGCTCGCAGCTTAGCTGCTCGCCTTCCCCTGGAACGACAGTACTGGCCTGGCGAGTGTTCACGCTCTTATCGGCTCGTAAGGCTAAGAGATACCAAGAAAGGGGCAACAAGTTCATGCACTTTCACCCGCTTCCACAAATTTGCAGAACGGTGGTGGTGGGCTGACTGTGGAGGGCCCACGACTCGACGTTGCAGTATGTCTGTGGTGTTCCGCGTTGCCGCACAAGGCCGCAAAGTCAAAGCACGTTCCCTTGCCCTGCTGCGCTCTGTGAACTTCTCCATGGCCAGCTCAGGCCAACGTGAACTCAAGGCCTCGGGAGCCTAAAGGGGCCTCGGGGCTCATGAGATGCCTCTGTGCTTGTAGCAGGTGTAAACGAAGCATTGGCCCTCGGCAACTGATACCTCACACTCGAAAGCCTTCTGCAGGTGATGCAACCGAGCTGGTGGAGGTGCAAAGGAGAAGACGATGAAGACACCAGAGTTGCGAAGAATCCGCGCCACCTCTGAGACATACCTGGCGGCATCTGTATCCCGATTACAGTCACACACCGAATCCAGTGTGGACTTGTCAATTGCGCAATCGAAAAAGGAATCCTCAAAAATGTCGCGCATGTCTCGCACGTCACCGGCCACCCAGTGCGACCTCGTCTGATGCTTGTTATTTCGGGACTGCATGGCCTTCACGCATGACTCAGACACATCCACATTCCATATCTCACCGCACCCGCCCTCGTCCAGCATGTCTTCTGCCAGTAGGCTTGTTCCAGATCCCAGATGTACGATGCGATCCCTCTTCGCTGTGCCAAGCCAAGGCTTCAAGGACTGAAAGGTACCCAGCCAGTCATGCGGCTGCCTGTACCATTCCTCTTTGTATCTTTCCTGCCAGTAGTGGATGTCTCCATAATCAACATCTGCATCGCTGTCCTGCAGGTATTTGCATAGCAGCCATGTGCATATGGTAGAAGATCCGACCAAGCCGAGTGCCCTGAGCCATTCATCTCTGCCCTGCTTTGGGAGCGCGCTCGTGGAGACGGTGGAATTCGGCCGCACAGCCGGCTTCAAGAGACAACGATTTCGAAAGCTCTGCAGCGAGCAGAGTCGTGCTCCAGCCAGTTTTGTGCGACTCGATGCCAACCAGGTTATCATGGCACACACGCACGCGCGCGCGCACACACACACACACACTATCACAATGCAAACACACACGCACACACACACACACACATCAACAAGATACAAGTGACCGCAAATACCTGAGGCACTTTTGAATACGACTCTGTGCCCTACTAAACCCTAAACGCACTTTCCTGAACCCGACACCCAGACCCTAAACAAAAGACACAGTCAGCATCTACACTTGGCTCATTGGACTCACAGGCCATTGTTGCGACGATGAGGTTTAGCAAGTTCAGGGCTTGACCCAGAGGAGGGTAGGGTTTAGATGGGTTGAGTCTACTTTGCTCAAGGGGTTAGTGGCCTCAAAGCTTAGGTAGGACCAAAGGCCAGGAGTTGCAGATTTCTCTGTGTGGTTTATGGTTATTCCAAGAGCCCAAGACTCCCTATGTAGGGCTTTTGGATCCGAAACGCGGACACCCCGAAGCAAGAAGAACGATGACTGGCCGCGCCTTTAGTGTAAGGGTTCCGTACATAATGTAGGACACAGCCCCCTAATCCCTGTTCCAGGTTTTACAGGCCCCTACACTAGAATTACGTTTAGGGGTAGATTTGGGGTAGGTAGGTAAGCGGGAAGGTAGGTACGAAGGTATAGGTAGGGAAGAGAAACCGCAAGGACAAGGGTAAAGGGTATGTATAGATATGTATGGTTATGTATGACAGAAGCAGCAAGACAGAAAGTGATGCTGCAGGAAGCTGCCTGTGAATGCATACCTAGAGATGAAAGAAGAACGGGCAATCATAACAAACATGATGATTATCGACGGCTGAGAATGATTGATGAGAACCGATGCATTGTTTGTTGTCGTCCTCATTTTCCTTCTCACTGTAGTATCATACTTATACCATACAGGATACTTGTTAATAACGTTCATACACAGTCCATGCTTGCAAAAGCTAAAGGAAGTAGCGGTTTGCGGAGCAGGCCGGTGGTAGTCACTCGAATATACATGGCAGCACACCTGGCGTTGAGATAGCTCGTGCTGCAGACCTGGCCAAGGTGCGGCCAAGGGGTGGATGTTTTGGTTTCCGGCTTCCAGGTGCATCCAAATGAAAGGAGCACTCGCCTGAGACCTCAGTCTCGAGCTGCGACACCTTTCTAGAACATGACTTTCGAGTCGCACCCGCAGCGACACGAATCGAAATGGCGGGAAGTTCAAGCATTCTGCGGTCTTGTGGCAGTGCCTTCGCTCTAAGCTTTGTCACATCCTCGGACTCGCCAGGTGCTACCTCGCCACATGACTGATACTAGCGCCCATTCGGCCCTGACAGCACAACAAGCGATGCACGGAGACCTGAGCTGCTTACTGAAGAGTCTCGCAAAATGCTCTCAAAGATGCCGTCCGTAACGTCCTTGCTGAAGTCCTGAAGGCATGTGGATTGCGTGCGACAGCAGGTTGCCGTTCGGGATCCCAGTTGATTGAGCTGCACTCGCGACGTCCTCCGTACCATTTGATTCCTGCTGTTCAGGATGAAAGGTTCGAATGCCTGCTGGCAAAAGCCATGCTGCGCACAGTGTAAGGAATCCACACGGGGAATATTTAACACACAGATCTCGGCCAGGCGCCGAGAGAGTCCCGATCCGAGCCAGGAGTTTGCGGGGGGACTGCAGGGCAGGGGCGACAAGGGATTTCATTCGCTGAGCAGCTGCCGTTCACTGCCTTTCCCGCTTTGGTCGTCCTGAGGCTGGGCCATGCGTTCGTCGCCTGTTCAGCAGGGTAGCAGGAGTCTCCAGTATGCAAGTCAATGTGAAGCTGTTCTTTGTGTCACAAATGATCTAGGTTGGGCGTCGCACGCAGCGGACGGCCAGGCTTCCCCGGGCGGAGTGGTTCCTACCGCCTACCACTCATCGTTCTGCTTTTGAGCATGAATCTTCGGCGTACGTCAACACATCATGCAAAGCTGGACGCGGGAACATGCGACGGACCGCGACACCACGTCGCGCACTGGCGTGCCTTCGTCAAAAACACATTTTCAGAGTTGATCTCAACCGTTTCGTACCGGAGCGGAGGGATGAGAAGGCTGGCCTCCGGATCTTGCGCAAACCTTTTTAACACGCTGGCTCTGACGAGTCGGCACGACATTTATTCCGTCATCTTGCTAAGCCACGGTACAGCGGCTCAGAATCAGGCCGTTACTGCCGACGTGCCTTCGTACTTGTGCTGCTTCGCAACATACGTTGAGATTTTTGCTGGCTTCAACACTCGCGCTCTCTCTTGCTTGCTTGCTTGCTTGCTTGCTTGACGTTTGGGGTCGAGGGGTGCCCCCCGTACCCCCGCGCGCGAGCGCAACGCGCTCTCTCTCTCTCTCTCTTTCTCTCTGTCTTTCTTTCGCCAGGCCTGTGGTGGGGAGTTGCCTCCCCACCGCACGCAAGTGCGCCCCCGCCTGTTGCGGGACCCTGTACCCCGCGCGTTCGCGCACCCCCCCATCCCCGATTTTCTGGGGTGGGGCTCGGCTGTAGGGCGCGCGCGTGCCTTGCAGCGCACGTCAGCCCGTGTTACTTCAATATGCGTGGAAAACAGGCAGGCAGCAAAATAATATGAAAACAAAGTTGTGTTCCTCGGGCTCATGGAGGCACCCGCCTGCAAACAGGTCAGGGGGCCAACCTGAATTCGCTGAAGGGGGCTTCTCGAGAACTAATGATCAAAGTGGTGCGCGATGGTGCGCCCAGCCCAACATAAAAGTGAAGCGCCGGTAATTAATTCAGGCCTGTTGTTCCCCCACAAGCCTCTTTACGTTACCATCCAATTGCCCTTCCCAGTTTGGTTTCTATAAGGAAAGGGCCCTGGGGTCTTACGAGCGGTTGTCGCTCCAGCGGTCTGTACGGCTGGAAGCGGGTGGCTGTTGTCATATCCACCCGGACACCAAACAACCCTAGTCAGGCCTCGTCTCCGCGCCCCCTAAGGCAAACTCCTGAGTACCTGCAACAGCGACCTTCCCATGTAGGACACAACGGTAGGTTACTGTTCCCGTAGCCATTTTGGCTCAAGTGTCGCACCTTTGTTCTTGGGGGCCTGGCACGCCTCCTTGGGCATCGGGGCGCAGGCACGGGGTTAACCTGAGGCTGTGCCCTCAGAAAAGCCTTCGTGCCTCCAAGCTCATCTTTTCGGCTAATAAGCTCTCTCTCTTTTTCTCTCTCTGGTCTGCACATCATGGACTTCCAATGCAATTCAGATTCATGGTGTCTTGCAAAAAGGCTGCGGTGCACGCTTTTGGGAGGTTTATTCCGATCCAGGCTGGTGCCTGCGCTTGAACGCCGGAGTCGGCAGGAAAAGTGCTAAGGTGAGATGCGAGACTGCCAGGTCAGCTTCAAAGTGCTGTTGCAGAGGCTTGCATCCATGGCTGTTCACTGCCTGGGATTCTTGAAGCTGAGCTGTTTTTTGAGCCCTACTCGCCAAGCTGGCAGGCGTTTGCCCATTGCCCTGCCTTTGCCTCCTTGAAGAGGTGGCTTTGCTCTTTGCCCGTCACGGCGAGCAGGGAGCCGGCAGTAGACCAACAGAGTCGGAAAGGTTCCTCGCCCAGGTTCCAGGAAGTCGAAAGGTTCCAGGGTTGTCCGTCCATGTCCTGCCACCATAGTTGGAGAAGTCCATCCTCAAAGCACACTGCGATAGAACTGGACGGTATTCCCAGATTGGGCCTCCATGCAACATCACGGACTGCCGGCCCAGATCCTCTCTCAACTAACTCATGTTGCAAGGACCACGCGTCGCTCTTCTCGTCTCCTCGCCAAATCTTGACAGAGTCGCTCGATGCCGAGACCAGCCGCAGGGGAGCTCGAGCTGCAGCTCGGGCCGCCGCCGGGCCGGCTGCCAGCGTGGCTGGACTGGCTGCTGGTGCCCAGCACAAGCCCACCAGACCTGTGGCGTGGGCCTCCAGAACCTTCGAGAGCCACTGCTCTCCGGCCGGGAGGACGGGACTTGCCACAACCTCCTTGCGCGTAAGGAAAACTATCTCCGGACTCTCACTGCCGGCGACGGCCAGCATGAGGCCATACTCAGCAGGTCGAAAGCTTGCAGCAACCGCCGACCCTCTCACCGTGAGCTGGTGCACCGAGCTCCACCTGAAACCAGCTCACGCTCACACTGCCCGGAACTAGATGATGCAGCTCCCCCCTCTTCGAAACTGCGATTCTCTCTGGCTGAGCGCTTGGCTGACTTTGCTGTTCTCGCCACAGCAATATGCTTCCGTCTGCTGCACCACTCACCAGCTGAACCTTCCACACTTTCAGCTGTCATGGCCCAAACCATACACATCCTGCAGTTCTCGCTGAGCAGCAGGGAGGGTCTTCTTTGGAGCCCAGCCCACGACCAGCACAGCGGCCTGGTGAGCTGGCAGCCTTCCAAAAAAAACTCAAGCTCCATTCCGCTGCTTCCTGACAGCCTTCAAACGTCCAAGGTCTGGGCTGTGCTACCATCTGGTGGCTGTCTGCACACCAAATCCTGACAACCTGAGATTCTAGATGCGGCGGCATCGCGAGAGAGCGAGAGAGACACAGCTACTTCAGTGCACTGGTTGGCCGAGACACCCCGTCAGATGAAGCCGTCGCCAAGCGTCGACCGACGGAGTCATACCTGTCGTCTCGTCTAAATTCTGAATGTGTGTGTGTGTGTGAGAGCAGAGGCAAAGTGAGCTGCTCCTGAACTTCGGCTAAGAGACTTGGCATCGTGCAGGCAGCCGAACCGCAATGCATCATAGCCAGGAGGTGCGACCATGTGGAATGGTGGCTGAGACACACGATAAATGGTGTAGCGACGCTGCTACAGCACGTTCAGGGAGACTTTGCAAGATTATCAAATTGTAAGTGTCTACGAGGAAGTCAGCAATCACTGAATCACTCAATGGCCATCATGTCGGAGCCAAGCGGTCAAGAGCTGCGCATGTGATACTACACAACCGCCACGGTCGCAGCACAGGAGGTGCAGGCAAAGCTTGCCTTGCCAGAGTTGCTGAGATGGCTGGAGACGGTCTATGGTGAATCGCCCTATGTCGCTGTGCTTGATCCGCAAAGCTACACAGGAAGTCCACGCCGTCAGAACCGCCACTAGAACTGCCGCTGAAAGCTGACGAATGCTTGCGATGTGTGCTGCCGAGCTATCTGGCTGAAGTCTGGCTCTTCGCAACCCTGCGTCGTGCTCCTGTACGGAAGGGCTAAACGAAGTCAGCCGAGGGCAACGACTCAGGGATGGTGCGGCCTCTTGCACCGCTCTGCCCGACACCAAGAGAAAGCTCATCGGAAAGGAGCTGCAGAACTTTGCGAGACAGCCTCCAAAGTATGTAACTCTTGTAGTTTTGAAATAACTCCAGTGCTTCATCGCTGCTGCACTTTCCCGGAAAATCTGCTTTCCACATTGGAACGACTTCGACCGCGCCCTTGCGCAGCTCGTGAAAGCAAACCTACACGAGGTCCCTACTGACTCGTTGCTGTCTCTGCAACCGGAAGAGCATCCACATGCCCTGCATATTCAACCTATCTCCACCCCTACGATCGACTGCAAGCGGCAAGCAACGGTCTGCAAGATGCTGGACCAAGCCATCACAAGCTCAGTCTCTCAGCAGCATGGAGTGATTGAATCAGAACCTGCGGGACCCACGGAAACTCGCTGCTCCCAAAGAGGAATGATGTACCACAGAGACCGTGGGCGCACCCAATGGAGGACAGAATCTCATCAGGCGGCCTGTCGTGCAAAAAGGAAATACTCCTTCTGAATGGGGATGCTTGTCGTGACGGCAAGCTTCACTTCGACTTCCCACGCCCACGTGCACACTCCGAGGATCAATGAGGATCGGTTCAGTCTACATCCCAAGGACACCAGCCTGGTGGGATGGTCAAGCGGCTTCGGCAGCTTTGCCGGATCGAGGACCTGAAACAAAGAAATGCGGTCAACACGCAAGGATCCCGGTCTTTCGTATAGGCTTTTTTGTCGGTGTAGACCCAGACGGGGAAACCGGTCACTGAGGCTGCTGCACCCTCAATGATCTGCGTGGCTGCTTTCAGATCTCTCTGCTCAATGGCCTTCAAAAGCTGCACTGCACTGCAGGGGCCCATGGCGACGCAGGCGCTGCCCGTCTCGGCGACTTTCGACAGCATGCGCACGAACACCGACCCACCGGTCCGAGAGCAGTCCAAAGACAAAGTCTCGGGGTCGAGGGATCTGCTCTGGCAGAACTGTTAAACACCTGTTACTCTTCGATGGGGGAAGCGGGAGAATCCACAATGGGTCTGAGATGGTCCAGTCTGAAGGCGAGCGTGCTAGCTAGCCTCGTTCGTTGTAAGCTTCGTGAATCTTTCAGGGGCTCCCTCGCACCCTTGAGGTGTGCAAATAAAGCCCCCTGATACAGTGCCTCTAGCCACCAAGATCCACTATTTCAAGCTTTTCAATCATATCGATGTCCTTTACCTACCATTACGTACGGCATCCCCGTAGTTATTCCCTCCCGCCTCCGTTGCCTCGAGAGCGTACTGACTGTCCATGTTCATGTTCAGCACTGCCTCGTAGTCAGTTTGCACTTCACTCCTGACCGTGCCACGTCTGCCATGCTAAGGTCTCGGCGCTCTGTAAGAAGTTCCAAATGTGCGTGGCTTCCGGATTCAGCACTAAAGATGACCTCAAGCGCCACATGGACCAACACCACACCCATCCGAACGGCGCAAGCGCGGAGCGCTGGGACCCTTGCAGGTACAAACGCGCTGCATCCTTGTGCTTCCCTGGGCTGTAGCTCGGCATGATGAAAGAGTTACGGCCGTCAGCAAAACAGGCCTAAATTGGCATGCGCGATGGCCATGTTCGACCTCGAATCTTCAATGAAGAAGAAACACATTCGCACGAAGCACTGTACAAGAGTCGAGCCAACTTCGAGCATAGTTGGGCTTCAGCTCCAGCCCTTGATGGTAAGCCACCTAGGCTGTGGGTAGCACGGGGCATGTCCAAACCTCACAACAGTGGAAAGGTCCCGGCAACGGCCGCCTCACTCTTGCCAGAGTTTGCCAAAGTGGCACCGAGCTTGTTCCAAACCTCTGCTCATAGCTCTGCATGAAAATCTTGCAAAACCCTTTGAGATCGTGCATCCACTTTGCCCTGAATCCTTGGGGCAGTTGCAGTAGGATCGCTCGGTCTCAGCCGACATGCAGTGGCAAGTGCCTAGCGTGTCGAAGACAGCTGAGAACAACTGGCTCGTCTACAAACCTCTCGCCTGAACAGCCGCTTCGAAGTCTCCTTGAGCTGTTTCGTTTCGCAGCTGTCCACTTCGTTCGTTTGGCTTTGACTAACTCGACAAGTCTGAAACTCTTGTGGCCCAGTCTCTGTTGATATTCTCCATGACACCCAATGCTACGAAGACGTCGGCATCGTGAGGGTGAGCCTGAACATCGTAGTGCAATATCACGGGGCAGACACTGGTCCATAGTTGCTCAAGCCTCTGCAGCCCGCTGAAAGAGTTCGGTGACTTGGCGGCCTCAGGTGCAATGCAAGGACCTGCTGGCATGTGCACGCATGTGAACATATACATGCACAACCAGGCATGAAACTGCCTAACCACTAATAAATAAACACGCCTATATGCACGAGCATGCATATGTATATGCAGAAGATACCACAAACACAAGTAGGGTGCGAATGTGTGTATAAATGTGTTTTTGCTTCCTGTGTGTATGCATGCTGTGCCCGCCTCAAAAACTCAGTTGCATCTTTGATACAACATAGGACAACCATATCCAAACAAGGCAGAGCATGCCGCAACATGTGTATACAGACAGAATTTAGGCGCAGAAATTGCCCTAATCCCAGAGAAAGTATGATGCAAGCAGATACTTGTAACATAAATTATAACATTGCAGAATGTCGGAGGTGTGGAAGCAGACGGCAACACAGTCGTGACAAAAGCTACATACGACATTGCGTTTTAAACTGACCAGACAGCTTGCTTCGAAGCGCAAGCCTGCACAAGATCCAAACTTGACACATCTGGCCGGATCTGGCCCGCAAACTAACAAGCTCCCAAGGTTCCCTGCCCCACATGTTGCAAATCTCAGAACCATAGAACGACATATTATTCACCGAGAATAATGATCCACCCCACCCGATAGGCTTGCAAGTCTCTACATCTTGACCCCACAACATCCGACCTTCACGAATCTGGCGTCAGACACTCCCCACATGTCGTAAACTTCAGAAACAATAGATCCATGATGATCCACGAAGCATAACTAATTTGCAATTTGCAACAACCTACATCCGAACCGCACATGCAGTCCAAGCCTCACAGATCGGTTTCAAACACTGTCAACGTTGCAAGGCTTAAGATTCCACATGTCTCCACATGCAAAACACGGCCCAGGACACTAGTGGGCCAACATGGCTTGCTAGCCTTGCAAGCTGCGAAGCAATGCATTTTAGCGCCACTTGGCTCCGCATCGTCGTCCCAACGCTGCATCCTACTTTGTGAGTCTTTGCCGTTCGTTGGTGTGCAACACGAGTGCATAGTCGAGCGCATCATGACAATGGCGAAGCCAAGACGAACACTCTGCACGAGCTCGTGTGCCATCGGATATTACGATGAAGTGGATGATGCATTGTATACACTATACAGACAGCATACACAGACTGGTGAATCAACCCAGAGACGCTAACGGTCAAATGCCACCTAGTCTAGTCCCCGTCGGTGGGACTGCCGCAGCCAAGCTGAAGCTGCGGCGCCACGCGTCGTACTCGAAATCCGGAGGAACTTCAATTCCCTCTACGAGGGCCTCGGGTGGCTTGCAACGTCATCGCTTGATGTACCCGCATGGCAAACCGTGCCTGGTGATCCTCGTGGTTTTCGAGCCACGTCCGCAAGTAGCGCCTCATCTGGATGGAGGATCCCCGGAGGGAACAGCCAACAAGCCGATAGTTCTGTCTGCCCCGTCTGCAAGCATCTTACAGTGAACTTCCATGTAGACTTCTCATCCTACGAAGCATTCAAGCCTGCCGTTGCTCGTCTGAACACATTGATAATGGATCACACTGGCAATCAGAGCCATCTCTATTGTGAAACTGTGAGGAGTGGAACTTCCCACAGTCAGCTGGTGTCTTCCGACCTCCAGTGAATCTTGCTCCAGATCGAGTACTCAGCGCTTGTAATCAATTTTGATTGAACGTAGCGCGTTCTTTGCAGGACTTGGGTTGTCAACATCGGCCCCCATCGGAACGGAAGGCTCTCCCTTCCTGGAGTTGTGGGTGGTGGGAAAAACGCTAGCTTGCAGGAGGAGGAGGAGGAGGAGGAGTTATTGCTCCTCAGCAAGTGCAATACGACGCAAGAGGAGAACAGGGATGCTCAGGGTTCTGCAGCGCTTGCAGCTGATCCAGCTCGTTCGTGCAGCTGACACCTCGCGATTGACATCTCGGCAGTCGCCTAAAGTTCCGGAAGTCCTTGTGTCCTTCCCTGCGACACCGAGGTGCAGGCCCAAGGCAAGCAAGCTATCCAAGTTGTAGGGATCAACCTGTGCGACAATGCTGCGCTTCACACGTGCGGCACGGTCGGAGAAGCAGCGTGCGAATGTCGAAAAGTCGTGAAAACGCACGGGCCGCCTCGTGACCTTTCCTCAGACATTGAATTGCCTCAGCTTCGTCTGAAATATCTTCAGGCAGCACACCCCCGCCACATGATGAGCAAACACCGTGGAGACAGCTGGACAGCCTCTACGTCTTGGTCAAGCTGTGCGTAGAGCTGACCAAGCCTGAGTGACGGACCACGAAATCGGGTGCACGGTCTACGTCTACCTAGCCTTAGCAGCCTTAGCACACAAGGGCGCGGCATCCTCCAGCCTTCTGAGCTTTCCGGGTTTCGCTGGACCTGCTATGCTTGACAACGCATCAGGGAGGAATGAGCCTTGGCAGCGGCCTCGGACTCCAGACAAAGAAGTGCCTCACGGTCGCGCCCTGCCAAGCACAGAAATCTTCGGACTGCATTGACATGCAATATTGAGGCACTGGAAGGATTTTGGGCCTAGGACTGCTGTTCGAAGCCGAAGTAGGGTTCAACCCATGCAGTCATCAGGCTGGTCAGCTCTGTCGAAGGCAGATGCAGTCTTCGCACCAGAGGTTTTGCATGATCTGACTCGAACCTCCCACCTTAATGGAGGGCGGGGTTGCGTGGTGTACTGGCCCTCGCATGTTAATCTTCGTGCACGGGCATACATTTCCGCTCGTCCTGTACATACGTGCGTACATACATACATGTGTACATACATACATACATACATACATACATACGTACATACATACGTACATAACATATGTACACACGTACGAGTGTACGAGTACACACGCACGTGCACACATGCACTGATGGACGTACGCATGCACATATCAGTCACATGCAAACACATGTTCGACATAGTCTTATACGCCGAAGTGTGCAGGTACATGTGTGTGTGTGTGTGTCTGAGTCTGGCAAACCATTCCCTCCAAGGACAGGTGAGGGTGGCAGAGCAAATCTCGACAAAACACAAGTCGCGCGGTGGGGAGAAGCGGTGGGTGGGAGGGGCCTGGTTGAATCCGGCTCCAACTTCAAATTTCGGCACAAACCACCAACTAAGAGAGGCGGTGCCTGGGTGATGGTCCAGTGAAGGTGGCTGAGGGGGAGTGGGCTCATTGAATCCGACTAAACCATACAATCTCAGCAGACGTCCGAGCGTCATAACTGCGACTCTTCTTGCTACCAGGAGGGAGATTCGGTGGATCTTCGGCGTGTGTGGGAGAACCATCGTAATGCGCGAAGTCTTCGGACGAGCCATGTCAGGACAAGAGCGGCCGAAGTGAGGACAGCGACTGGCAAAGAAACCGCACTTCACTGCAACGTGGAGGCAGGGGCAGCTCTGGAGGTAGATCCAGTGAGCCAAGCTCGTCTCTGCACTGAACACATATCACATGCTCCACTGGGCACCTTCTCTGATGAGCCTGATGGCCTCCGCAAGGGGGTCCGTGATTTCACCTCCCATTAGCTCGACAGTATCATGCCATTGGTATGTGGCTGAGGCTGCATCAACCTATCTGCAGTGGTCTTTCCTCTGCTTTAATTTGAAAGCCTAGGAACTGAAGGGGTTCTCTTCTGCAAACTGGTACTCCTTCGCCCTTTGGATGGCACCCTGAAGCAGCCGAGCATTCGCTACGGACTGCCTTCTTGGAAGGTGGGACACTGCACTGTGAGTGTCAGGCGAGATCCATGGTCATGGGATCGAAATTATCAAAGCCTGCACCGCGGCTTGATGCCGTTTCATGCTGCTGCTTGCTGCAAAGGCAGGCATTGGCTTCTCTTCCACCTCGTAGCATCTGCTCAAGAGCAGCATCTGCCTGCCAGGCTGTCAGAGAGCCAAGGCATCAGACGGTTTGTCATGCGCAATCCTCCTCTCGGCTGCCGAGCATCTCCTGAGGGAGAAGAGATGAAGACGCTCGACCCATGTGAACTGTGCTTCGGGCAGCATCCGTCCTGCAGAGCCTCTCGATTGGCCATTCCGAAGTTAAGATCTCCCTCGAAGTCCTCCATCCCTAGTGGATGGTTCATGCCGGCCCTGTTCAGCACAGCCTCCATACCTAAGCAATCGACCACCGTGGCTGAAACACGCTCTCATGGCAGCATGTGTCTGGAAAAGACAGTATTGCTAGTATTTGCCTGACCCGTCGGCTGAAGCTTTCCACATTGTCTCCTGCAGCTGAGGACAGCTCGCTGCCACCCCACGGCACAGATCGCGCAAAAAGCCGAGCGTACCATCTGAGCTCTGTCAGTGGACGATGCAGTGGCCAGGTCAGTGTCGTACAACGCCTCCCAGTCCTGGATTTACCAGCAAGGCTCCTTCTAAGCAGCTCGGGCATCAAACCTGCTTGCTGTTCCCATTTTAACCTTTTCGACAGATGACGATCCGTTGCACATGAGGCACCGACTACTTGGTTTCCCTCTCTGTCAATGACGGTGTTCTCTTTGAACTGGAGATCCCCCTGTCGGGCCGGCAGAACAAAGACAAGCTCACAGCTGGCAGCTGCTGAACCTTGCTGACCAAGTCAATGAAGTTCACGAATTTGGAGTTGGCGAGCTTGGTGTTCCCACTGTTTCTGAGCCTGTCCACAGAATCTCGTGAGAACTCGACGTGCTGCAACAAGCTGAGGCCAGGGACATGTCCACCATTTGGGCAGCTTGCCCAAGGTCCGCTTCTTCAACCTCCGCGGTCTCCGGGTGTCGCAAGCAATGCACTAAGCCCTCTCTCGTTGGGAGATCTTCAGAGACGGCGTCGATTTGTCCAAGGCTCTACCCCCAATCACTTCCACGAGTTGCAACTTGCCTGCCTGCGGTGCCTCTTCTGTGATTGTCTCGATCGGTGCAGCCTGGAACGACCCCAATCTTACCCTGATATTCCATGCTTTTCTCTCGTTTCCCATGCGGCCTGCTTGGCAGCAACATCTGCAGTCACTGCAGGCGCAGGTGCTGCAGCTGCCATAGCTGGCGCCGGCATCAAGGGGCCGGTTTGCGGCCCCTTGGTCCACCAAGATCTCAAGCTCAAGCTCACGAGCTGCGCTTGTCTCGGCAACTCAGCGCTCCACCCGAAGCATGGGGCCCATGCCCATGCCCATGCCCATCATGGGTCCCATGCTCATGCCCATGCCCATCATCGGACCCATCATGGGGCCCATTGGGCCGGTGCTGGACCTCAGCTCAGAGTTGCACATCGAAAAGCCAAGAAGCGATACTGAGGCCGCCAAGGCGCATCGCAGCACCTGTGGACTTTTGATTTGGGCTACTGAGCACTCTGCAGGCTTCCAAACACACAGCGAGCCTGCAGGTCCGGCCTGTGCCTGGGAGTATGACCGGGTGCAACTGAAACTTTCCCTCCCATTCCCGTGCCGCTGAAGTCGATATGGACCCTTGAAGTGTCACAACGGTAGTATGACATCCCTCCTGCCGGCAGTGAGTTTGATGTGCGCTGGCCTGCTTCCAGGCGCCGTCCATGGACCTCGGTGCAGCTCCAAGGTCCCCATGGGGAGCTCTGCTGAGTTCCGAGACATGCCGCGAGTTGCAGGGCCGCGGCGCAGGATGCAGCGCCGCGGGATTCTGCGCAGGCCTGAGGTCAGAAGTAAAGCCTTGGGGGCCAGGAACCTTCCCCTCGACCCTCTTCTGAGCTACTCAGCCCAGCTTGCCAGGCATTCTCGAGATCCAGAGGTGCCTGGCACGAGCAGAGGCTCGTGTGAATGACGTGCTCGGGCATTCGATGAGTACTCGGCATTTGGACTCATCATTGGCCCAGCCATGGCCTCGGTGCTCGGCATTTTTGCGTTCCCATGGGCGTTGTTGCTATAGGTTCCGGCAGGTCCCGCAGCAAACTCCTGCGCCCATGGGTTGGGCCCTGCTTCAAGGAGAGATGACAGCACCGTGGCTCGGAGCCCTTTGAGACTCTGAGACCTCACGCCTCAAGCCCCCAGTCCTGAAAGCCCTCATATTCCCATAGCCCAGAACTCGAAGGTTAATGCCTGTCTAACCCGTTGGCTCACCAAGCGCCTGCATGCACTGGCCCACCGCCGTGCCTGAGCCGAACATGGGAGCGCCAGACATCTTGGCTTTTGACTCAGACACATCTTGTCATATGACGTGGCACAAGACTTCGATCAGCTAAGAACACTTGGATGATGCTACATCAAAGTTACAGCTACAGTAACATACGGACAGGACTTTGCAGAGATCGACTTGGGAAGTCACTGTCAGCTTGGCAGCCCGATATTCGCTGCCAATTCTCCGGGGTCTGAGGTTCTTCTGGCTTCGGGCGTCCAAGTAGTTAGGGCTGCCGCTTCTGGACGAAGAGAGGCAGGCTAAGGGCCTGAGGACTGTCAACTCAAGACCCTAAACTCCCTAAACCCGAAACTTCATGCAGGCGCTAACCACCAAAACCCGATCATGCCGCACCGAAAAGCACGAAGCAAAACAGGTCTAAAGGGGGGCCCAGAAGAACGCCTATGCTGCACGCTTTCTTCTGGCGGTTTCGGTTCACGCGGGCTTGCGGAGCGCTGCGCAACTTGAGGGTTTGAGGCCAAAGGCTGGAGTCTTTCCTGCCAACTGCGGCGCGGTTTCGAGAACTCTACGCCATTAGCCGATGCACCTGCCTGTCTGTGCGGGGGCAGTAACGTCAGCTGTGCAGACGTAACTCTCTCTGGGTTCTGCTCTGCATACACGATGATCATGATGTTGGAAAATTTAGATTACTCCTTGCTCTGTCTCGTCACCCTCTTACTTGTGCTCTGCTCCTCGTCGGCTTCCAGAACGGTCTCCAACTCTTCAGAAGCTGAAGCCCTGATCGTACCAAGCGGGTGGCCAGCTACACTCGCTCTTGATCAAAACGTCCCAGCGTTCGAATCGCTCGGGTCTTGGGGTCCAATATGGTCCAAGTTTCTGTCCGAGCAGGAGGAAACATGGCATCGTCGAGTCTGTAGTGTACACTTGATCCGGACAGGTCTTAGTTGGAAGAATGGAACACACGCCAAATGTGGCTCGCACAGAAGACCATGGGCTCCTAAAGTCGGTCTGTGCGCGAAAAAGCCCAAAGCCATGAAGGAAGCAAAATTATACAGTAACTGAATCTTACATTGAGGCCGCGCCAGCGGAAGACCATGCAGAAGACCTGTTATTGAGCGCTGTTTCCTTTCTGGTCAACATTAACATACTCAAAACAACATCTTTACAGCAGTGAGAGCACAAATGCCCGGCTACACTTCTGCTCTGAGACTTGTTTCACGTTGTGCGTGCTTCTCGTCGTTTATTTCTCTCTTTTGCAAAGCTTTGCTTTGTTCGAGTGGGTCCTCTACGTTTCCTGTTTTCAAGTTTTTGGTCTAAGAACTGTTTTGTCTATTCTGTTGGTCCGCCTCCGTTTGTCCATGCGCATTTGTCTTATGTGGCTCCTAGCGCCTGTCGATTCTGTTTGTTTGACGTGTGCCCCTTAGATTTTCAAACTAACATTAGCCTCTGTCGCATAAGCCCTCACTGCAAATGTCATGGCCAGGAAGAAAAACTAAGATCTGCGTACAGTACATGCTATAACTACATTTCTGCAGAGACTTAGAGTATCCTTCTGCCTCTGGTCGCAGTGGATGCTGGCACCCTCTGAGCTCGGGGCCACGTGTCTGCTTTCCGAAAAGTCGGCTTGTCGAAGAGCCCGGGCCTTGAAGAGCACTTTTGTCGGAAGAGGAATGGCAATAGGAGGAATAGAAATTGGAGGACAGCAGTGGTAGTAGTGGTAGTACTGGTAGTACTGGTAGTAGTAGTAGTAGTAGTAGTAGTAGTAGTAGTAGTTTTTTGTTCTTCAGGGCCCCCGGCTCTGCACCCATCGCACCAGGGCTCGCCATGTGCTGCATGAACTGCTCGGACCTTGCGCAGTGATCTAGCGAAAAAGTCGAAAAAGTGACAGTGATGGTGTTCGGGTTCCAGGCATGGTCGGACCAGGACCTGGTCCCATTCTTGGCCTGGCATCTGACCAGAAGCCCGGCAAGGGGGGCTGGCGCCACAAGCAGGCCGGTGGTTCCCACGCATTCCAGGCCCAGCTTGCCAGGCATCTTCTAGCTCCTGAGACTTCCGCCGTCTCACCCTTTTCTGGGCCACTGACAGCTGGAGTTCGTGGCATTTCGGCCCATCATCGGATCCATCATCTGCCCTCCAAGGCCGCCAAGCCTGCCAGCGGCGAAGCTAGCCGTGCAGCGGCGCGGATGGCAGAAGCTGAGCTCTGCACGGCGGCCTCACCCAACGAATGCAGATGACATCAGGCGACACCACTTGCAGCTTCACGCATGCCTCATCCCGCCGGACATGTAGCCTTCTCGCATTTGCTGCGCATGGTGCTGGTCCTTGGCAGCAGCATGCAAGCTATGGGCAGCCATTCAATGCGCCTGGGACGACTGCGGTCGCCGAGGACGGGACTCCCGTGAGAGAGTCGAAGGCTCTGGACAACGGGTTTCCCGCAAGGCCATCGACGCTGCAGCCTCGCTCCCACATCTCCGCATCGAACCCACAAGTTCTCTGGAAGTCGGCCGAGCGAGAGGCTGTCGGGCTTGAAGAAAGGCCTCATGGCACCTCACGGCACGACACATTGGACTAGTCAAAATCAAGTCCTTCAGAGGGCTTCTATGCCCCAGGCTTCAAAGGTGAAGACCCGCTGAAGGTCTTCAAACGCTTTTTAATTTTCCGCACGGTGGTGAGAGCTTGTTCATTATCCGTTTAAGCTTGCGTCTGAGCCCTTCGTAGACAAAGCTCCTGCAATCTGCCCGGGTTTGGACTGTGCTAGTATGGTTTGAGTTGAAGTGGCCGCGTGCATGCCTTCAAAAGCAGCAAAGAGCCGACACGGCTGCAGGACACTACCCGATTCAAGGAGAACTTGGAAGCCTGCGGAAGCTTCCTGGTGTCATGCAATCTCAGAATCACATAGAGTGCATCCCCACCACCGTGCTGCTGGTTGCGGGCAGGGCAGGAGTGTCTCTTTCAGCCTGTTTTCGCCTACCTCAAGTACACACTTCTGCGTGAGCCTAATGCTACGAGTGCACATCTGTCCGGGGTGCGATTACCAGGACCAGAAAATCTGAAAGGAGCACCCTCACCAAGTGCTTCCGGCGCTTAAGCGCCAGAGGGACACCTTCCCTCCCTTGTTCGCAGGCGCAGTCACATTAGCCTTCCGGCTTTGATTCTCTAATAATATGGCTCGAGAACTTGGCTGCCTGCTCCGAAGGAATGGACTCAGGCTATGGTGAACCGAGCTACTCCAAAGCTAAGATAACGAGTGAAACTGCCACGATCTACGGGGAACAGCCACTGCCAGGCTTGCATCGTGAGCCTCTGTTCCATTGTTGAGGGGGGATCTGCCTCGAAACATGCTCAGAAGCACTTGTGGCGTGAGCGTTTACCTGCGACTGGGACGGTGCACGAGCAAGACATTCGCAGTTCGAGACATCTGGAACTCCTGATGTTGCCACACCGCACAAGCACGACTGCCACAAACGATGATGCCTGGTCAGCGTATCATCAAGTGGTGGGGTGGATACTGCATCGGCGGGGAGAAGTGCGGATGGGGACCTCAGTGACGACTGCCGTAGCAACCATTCCCGCACTCGCTCGAGCAGATGTGCTTGCTTCGGGGCACCGACCGTAGTACTGATGAGCGTTATAGTGCATCATCTCGGGGGGCCCTCTCCCAAGAAAATTGCCACAAATGTCTTTTCTATGTCGGTCGGGAGGCCTAGGTAAGCTTCTGGAGATCCATAGGGCGGCATGGCGCTTCCAGGCACAGCTCCTCACGAGGCAGTTTTGAAAGGCTTTCGACAACAGGCGAGGCGGCAAAATGTCCTGGTGGCATGCTTGGCCTTAGGAGCTTCAGTCACTGTCAGGTACAGAAAGCATTCATCGCTAGGGACCTACACTCCCGTCTCGGCCGCTCAGGTGCTCGCGGATGGTGATACATAGAGGCGGATGCGGCCAGAGTTTTACCCACACGCTGCAGGAGTCCCTGAGGTGAGTGGCACTGGCAGGATACGCGGTTCGCTGTTCTGAAGAACCTCGCCACGTTCAAGGAGATCGTTCACATCGATGTCCTCAGACAACTCTGCCACGTGATAGTGATCTAGTTGATGAAGACTTAGCGTGGCATGCTGGTGCTTGCATGCGCTTGCGGGTAGCAGCTGAGTTGTGGTGCACGAAGCCTGTGCCACTCTCCTGTCCTGTTGGGCAGACTCCTCCAGCGTCGCAGCAATCTGCGCAAGATGCTCGTACATCTGCTTCGCGTGCCTCAGGGCTCTTGTAACAATAGGTAAAGCTACTGATCTGTTACTGCAGCAGACCCCCGACCCTTTCGTACGGGCGAGAAACAACTCACTAAACGAAGCGTCTTCAAACCATTGCAGTTCGAAGGATGACTTCGGGGCAAGAGGGATCCTGGATTCGCGGGCAGTGCCTTTCCTCCGAATGCTCCGAGCCGGCGCCCAGGAGCCGAAACCTCTTTGGGCTTCGGCAAACGGGTCTGTTGCCCTTCCAGAAGCGGTCTCCTGTCTTTGAGGAGTGGTCGGTTCGTTGGACCCTGGCAAGTGCAATCAGAATTACATCCAGTGGACAACTGAGTTCAGGATGTCTTCTTGCGGACAGCCGTGCTCCGTTCACTGCTGCTCTTTGCAAGCGTGAACAGGTAGCCACCGCCCACGGACAGGACGCAGCCCAGTGCCTGGTACAACCGACGCCAGTTCTAGCAGTGCTGGCACAGGTTCCCTTCACGCTGCACTTATTGAGCATGTTGGCATCCCCACACACTCCCGGACAACTTCATGGCAGAATACAGCAGCAGGCCTTCAGCAGGCTCATCTCATCTCCGTAATAAGCGGTCAGCACCACAATCATCAAGGCCTGCGAACACACCGCCGTCGGCAATTCCATCAACTTAAGAAGTCATCTGGCCTTCACGACGGGCGTCAACACGGAGAAGGCCTGCTGCACTTCAATGCTCCCTGGCAAACTATACCTAGGACCTAGGGAGTGTGGAACGGATGGAGAAACCCACATCACAATAACAATTCCCGCGTGTGCCGAAGGACCTAACAGAAGATGCCTCTCGACGTCAGCTACTGAGTACTGATGTCGGGTGCCGATTCTGATGCAGGCCACCAGCGGGCTGAGCTGGGTCATCACAAGCAACTGGACAAACCTGAGCAACATCTCAGCAGATGACCTTTCTAGTTGTTTCTTGTCTGGCTTCTTTGCGTCTCGCAATCCGCGAATTGAAACTCCCCATCCAAGGCTCTGGTACAAGAAGAAGAACGTGCTGCTCGCAAGCATATCCTTAGAGCTGTTGCCAACAAAGGTTCTCACACCTTTACAAGGCAAGGGAACTTTAGGCGAAGAGGAAACAACGACGCATCAACTGCTGTTACAGCCAGCTCGGACCCTGTAGATTGCAACGCCTCTCGATTGTCCAGTCAGCACGTGCACAGTACAAAAACAAGTACACACTTCCATATGTATGGTATGATACGGTATGGTACGGCACGGGCACAGTGCGGTATGGGTAGGCTATGGCAGGGTGCGATGCGCATGGTATGTTATGCCTGTATGTATGTATATATGTATGTATGTATGTATGTATGTATGTATGCATGTAAGCATGTATGCATGTAAGCATGTATGCATGTATGCATGTGCGTATAAACTTTTTTACGGAGATGCGAAGGTGCGTGGGTATGGGGGTGCGCAGTTATTGAAGTATGTAATGTATGTATTGATGTATGCAACGTACGCATGCATACGTACATACATACCTACGTACATACATACATACATACATACATACATACATACATACATACAAACATACATACACATATACATACATATCTTTATCTTTATACATGTATGCATGCATACATAGATGTTTTGCTATGTGCGCACACAAACAGACTGGCAATTAGTGCAAGGAAGGATTTGCCCCTCAAGTTGCCATCCATGGACCCCAGACCGGACTTGCTCCGAGAAGCCGCTGCGAAGATCCACAACTGGTCCGTAGCCAAGCCCTGCCTGAGAGGGTCTGCCCGATCACGCTTCAGCTGCAGCAGTCAGAAGCCTTCCAGTCCTCTCAATCCTCTGTATGCTACGGAACCCCGGCGCCAGCCGAGCGGCAGCGTCGGAAGCACCTGTCCATGGCACGAGGGAAATCAGAAGCACTAGATTAGATCCTATCATATCCTATCCAATTAGTCCTATCTGTCCCGGAGCAAAAATGCACCTGGGAACCCTCCAGAGGAATCTGCAGAAGAGGTAAGGCCAAAGTTGCTGTCCAGCTGACCTGTCGGAAATGTGTGGCAGCGGTTCGCGAGAAGGCTTTCGAGCTCGAGCTCTGCACTCACCGGGCCCTGGACGTTGAAGAAAACAGCCAAATCATCAAGCCTGACTACCCGAGCTCTCGTTCATAAGAGTATTTCTGTTCACGTGAACACATCTGCAACTGTTCACCAAAGAGCTTGTTCTGCGGGTTGCGTCGAAGCCGCTGCAAGCAGAAGGACCGGCCTCAATTTGCGTGCACCTATCCTACTCAAGCATTGGCATCGTCGAGGGTCAGTAGTGCATGCATGTTTCGACTTCGAATGTGTAAGACAGCGATGCACCCGACACAGAACAGACTCGCCCGGCTGTAGCAGTTTCGACGAAATCCTCCTGCTCCTACTGTGCACCTTGATTTGCGCCAATGATCGAACTCGAGAAGTCCACCAGGAACAGAAACCTAAACCTTTGCCCTCCAGTTGTCGGGACCCACTTTGCTGGACTAGCCGAGCAACAGCAGAATGCCACGTTTGAAATCATGGCAAGGCAAATGCCGGTGGTAGAAAGGCCTCCGGAGGTCAGTGATGCCATGGCAACCTTGTCTCAAGGATAGGTGCGACACCAAAGACCGTCGATACTAGCAGCCGCTAGATTAATGAGTATTGCTGGCCGCAGCATATATCGCTGAAAGGTACTGCTTGAGCATTTGAATGAGTAGCCGGACGAAAATAGTCCCCATGACTTGTGACTAGTGTTATTGCTACCATCAACACCACCCGAACACCAGCGGCAGCACTGTGCAGAGAGTTCTGCAGCAAACGCTTTGCCAGAGATTGCCCAAATGCTCTGATGACTTACTGCCCACCCTGCTACAAGCTCGATGCAAGAGCCGGTTTAATCAGAAGAAGCCCATCTGAAGCATCACGTCACACCTGGGTCGAACTTCTGTCTGACGCAGGCCAGTCACTCCGCCGCATATGGGCACAAGTGTGGCTAGCACCTGCCACGAAAACCGCTGCCCCAAGCCAGCTCCCACGCAGACGGTAGCGACGGGCTCCATGCAACCTTCGCGACGTGCAGATAGAATCGCCCAGCACTTGGTGCCCAAATTGCACATCCAGATCAGAAAAGAAATCACTTCCACATGCAGGTTTAGATCTGCGAGATGCTTGCAAGCGGGCGTCGAATGACGTTGACCATGCCCGGACTCATGTACAGGGCTGCTGCGTTGAACATCACGAAGCCTCCTGTCCACCTGAGTTGTGCACTTCGAGTCAACGCGGGCCGATTATCGAGAAGAGTAAAGTATGATCTCATCCGCGAGAAACCCAGCTAGGCAAAACATGTCTAGACAGCTAGCCCAAGCAGAAGAACCTGCAATGCCAAGTCAATGTCGTTCGAAGCTGACATCACTTAAATAAAGGCTACAGGCTCTGCGGAAAAGCCGAGCAGCACAGCACTCAGTGGCAAAATGTCTGGCAGCACAGCCCGCGGTGCCAAAAGCCGTGGTGCACCCTCACTCGCGGCTTTGGAGGCCTTGGCCAAATGGCGGGCGTGCTGAAACAGGGATCAGTTCGAGAGCTAACCAAAAAAGCACCATCTAGGGTCAAGTCACAAAAACACTCCACTTTTGCTCTTCGTGACATCACAAACCGTCGTGAAACCTGGGCCTCTTGAGCTTTGGGACCTGAAGGGATCAGAGACTCGGGTCAAGTCCGGGTGCAGAGGATGCGGAAAAGTAGGAAAATCGGTACCAAACAGGCTGCGAACCGCGACGAACAGCGACGAACTGCGAGGCGGACCGCATGAGCCACTAAACGAATTCCAACCGGTTCGGTTCGAACCGAACCACGAGAACCCCATGCTGGATTCTGACGGCTACGCACAGCATCGCAGCGACGCGGTGCAATTGCCTAGACACCAGCATCCCCCAACCGCAATACTTGCAATGCATGGCCTTTTTCATATTTTTCACAGATGCAGCATTGCACCTGTTGGAGTTGTCTGGAAGATCGTAGAGAGAGAGAGAGATGGATAGAGAGCGAGAGGTCTGTATCGGGAAATCTCCGATAGAGAGCTGCTTGGGCTTAGAGACGATTGAACTCGAGATCATGCAATGCCACTGCTAAGATCGGCAGTTCTGCGGGCTTTCCGTACCACCAAGGTTCAGACCGATGATGACAGTATCACCGAGATTGCAAACTGGGCTAGGCAGAGCAACAGCGGAAGGGGCGCATGGCTTGTGCACCTGACGGCAGATGCAGAATCGTCCCAACACAGAGTCGCAACTCAAACCTTGAAGCCCGCCTTTTCGCAAATATAATCATCAAGAGCTGGGTGATCACCAAAAGCAGTATCCTGAGTAAGAGAAAGCACTGCCGCGCGTACATCTGGTCGATTGCTGGAGCCAGGCATCCACCCAAGCATCGCAAGCGTCTCGCGCAGCCAATCTCGGGAGCTCTGCACTGGAGCCTTGCAAAATCAATCAGGCAAGTGATGCGATACTGATAACAAGCAGCAGGACCTCAACAAAAAAGCAAAAGTGACAGCTATCATTGCAAATCATTCGCAACAACACTGGCAATCATGATGGTGTGCTGATCCCTCGATCTCAGGAACTCAGTCTTGTGAGCGCGTCTGCTGTTATCGAGCATTCTATGCGCCTGCAGTGCTGCCAACCGCCCCAGGTGTTCTTCACAGCATTGTCATTCCCAATATTCCCAACACGAAAGTGAAAACTCTGCGCATGACTTGCGGACTTTCCTACGCATGGCCTCCACACATCCCCTTCCCGTTGTTTCCGTCGGCTTGGCAGAACTTTTAACCTTTGGCGCCGGGCTTGCTGCACGGTGCCGAGCCTGTCGGACAGGCAGTCATGGCTGCTTCAAGCTGTTCCAGAATCTCCGAGTTTGCCGGACAGCTGCCTTCGCCTTGGGTTGATGGGGTGGAACGCTTGGCTTCTCTTCCATTGCTGCACGGGGCGATTCGCGAGGTTCATTCCTCTGAGTTGGGTAGGGGCACTTGTGACTTTGCTGGCGTCTGCTGCTAATGGCTGCGAGCTCGAAGAGTTGCCATCGTACAAGTTTCACAAAAACGGTTGTAGTCAAAACCTCGAGTGAACACTGAAGTTAGTATGCCCCGTGCTTGTTTGGCTGCTTCTGCAATGAACATGCCATGGCTTGATCCCGGCGCAGCCAGAGAGCTGGGCAGCCTTTCAAGTCAACCTGCTACAGTACTTCTCCGCTCCGTGGTTATCGCTACTGAGTATACCACTCAGACTACGACAACGATTCCTTCTGTTCATGTGCAAACAAGTAAGCTACCATTGAACTGGCTCAAGGCTCAATCGGAAATCTCGCGATCTGAGCACTCGGCACTTGCGCCGGTGAGGGCTTGTCCTATAAGAGATTTTTTAATTCTACTTAAAAACCTCTCCTGAACCCTGCGCACAGGATTGGTTTGGTGACGTTTGCGGGTCCTCCTGCGGCTCCTGGCGGAGTGACAGGCATGTACCCACGGGAGTCTTGACTTGTACAGCCTTAGAAATACTGTCAGCACAGCACAGAGTAGAAAATGCTAGGCCTCGATGGCAGCATGAATTGTGGCGATTGCAGCCTCCAGGAAGCTTTGGAGTTTGGCCAGCAAGCGATCATGGTGCTAGATGTCCCATACAATCGTGCAGAAATGATCAGAAGCCGACACTTTTTCAAGATCCACGAATGAGTTGGGGAACCTACCAAGTCCACGGAACCGAGCCTTGTGATCTGCCATGAGATCGGCGTTGTGGTTGTGGACGATGATGGTGTGGTGCAGATCCCGCTGTCAAGGCACATCACATCGCAATCAGAGACTTTACATGTAACACTCAAGAAGGTCGCGTCCACGCCCCATCCCCTTCCCGCCCTCTGCCACGCCCACCTTGATCGTCTGCAACTCCTGGATCGGAGTGGCCTATGCTGTTGGATGTGGAAAAAGAAAGTCAGTCGTCCTGCTCTCTCTTCTGCTCCATCTTCATCAGGAGCCTCTCTAACTTGTCCTGCTGCAGCTATGTCTGTTGAGCGAATGGGCTCACCTCGTCAGAGCTAGGAAGCACGATGCCGCACAAGACGAAACTGCAGGATTGCGGCCCGGTTTCAAACACAGAAGGACGGTCACAGAGAATCCTTGTTGCGAATCATTGTCTACGGCAGCTGTCCTGCATCACTCCTTCGCCTCCTTTCGCCTGCCAGATTGCGCGACAGGTTCTGCTCGACATGGCTCTGCAAATGTGCCTTGTCCTTCTGGCTCAGAAGCATCTCCACTCGTCTCACCTCGAAGCCAGCTGGCAATGAGAGTCGCGCGGCAAGGTGGAAAGCCTAGGACACATTTCACAGGCCTTGTCTGCGAGGGCATTCATAAAAGATTCCATGCGCCGCAACTCTGCGACCACCTTGCTAGGCGGACGCAAGCATGAAACAACTTGGATGCGCTGACATGATCTGAGAAGGACAGCACTCGAGATTGGTGTTGAAGCGAGCAGCCACAATCAACGCAAGCGAAGCAGCAGAGTAAAGCATAACGATAAATCCGCACGTGGTTTCACCCAGAACACGACATAGGAAAGAGCTGCATCACATGGGCACAATGTGGTACACCTGCGGCTGCATGCTAAACCCTCGCTGCCGGTGCCTGCAATTCAGCATGGCCGGTGGCATGATTGACTCTTTGGCTGAAGTGGCTCAGCATGTCCTCACGCTGCACAAGAAATACAATATGCTGTCATAGCTTGGCTAAGTGGCCTCTCAACAGCACTGCCGGAGCTTACGAACCTGAGTTCGCTGGTCCTGCGGCATCCGTAATCTTGGTTCATCCAGGCCTAATGCCAGCACAGAAAACAGCATGGGTAGAGAAGAATGGTGGAGCTCTTACCTGGAGGCCCTTGTGGAACAGCTTGCTCATAGCCAGGTGGTGCAGCTGGGTACGCGGGAGGCGGGCAGTGCGGTACATGCGCCTGGTTCGTACAAAGCTTGCAGCCGAACGGAGAGAGATGCCGCAATATGCCGCACTGCCTGTGGCACCGCCATTCTGTACCATCAAGACCTCGGATGTCCGAACTGGTACTGTAGGGCTTAGGTTTGACAGCGCTTTTACTGAGGTTATGCCAATGTGGCACTACAATGTCAGCGTGAGAGAGGGTGATAACATGGGGTGGGTGCTGGATTCATGCCGGGTCCCTTCCTGTATACTGACACGCCCTGATTCTGTTGTGCACGATTTCGGGATGCACATTTCTCGTTTACCTAGTACGAGACAGGCTTTCGGACTCAGTCCCGAGGAGGACCCGCTACACCCCCCAAATTACGTGCGAAACCATGGCCTGAAGCCGGTTTAGGGTTTAGGGTTGGGTTTAGCTTAGGGCTTAGGGTTTAAAGTTTAGGGCTTTGGGTTTGGAGTAGGTTTCAGATCGAGCTGTGGATTGGATACAGACAGAACGTAGGGTTTGGGGTTTAGGGTTTAGGGTTTAGGCAGGTTGCCTCGACTTGACGAAGCCAAGATACTACCTTGCATGATTTAACCCGCAATCACCGTTCACCACTTATGCCGTCACACACGTCCGCAGGAACTCCAAGACTTTCAATCGAACGGCATCCCAAACAAATCCTCCCGCAGCTAACCACGAATCAACTGATCAATCCAAATCTTCTGTCCAAAAGCTATCCTGGCAGTGCTACAGCGGCCCGGCTTCATGATTTGTTACTGCGTTTCACATCGACATAAACACCATGCATGCATTGAGCCCAGCAGCTTCATCTTGTCCCAGCTAGGACTTCTGAAACTGTGAGCCAAAGTAAGCAAGTCCCAAGGCAAGACACGAGAGAGCAAGAATGAAGCAGCCGAAGGCTGAAGCAGCCAGCTTCGATAGGCTTCCGCAGGCTTTTCTTCGAGAAAACGATAGGGCAGGGGTCCCTGCAAGAAACGCCGATCATGGCTGCTTAGCCACGCAGCTTCCACCATTAACGCGAGTTTCCGAGATGAGTGCGGCAGGTCTTCTCCCGCTCCCGCTGCGCAAGCAAGCGCGCTGGGCTCACTCGGTGGACTGCTGGACCTTTGCCTCGGAAGTATTCGGTTGAATAAGACGACGTTGTGGCAACACTGAAGGGCAGCTAGGTTTCGCCTGAGAATCTGCAGCCTCAGGCGGCAGCCATCTTGTCTGCATTTGTGATCCCCATCTCCGTCTCGTACTTGCTGATCTCCTACAGACAGTACTGAGGTGAGGTAGACCCACATCTAGGATGCCCCGGCCACACGGTGCCTCAACAATCTCTTCTGCCTGCGGCTTGCGTGAGCCCTCGATCAACCTGGACCAGCACGACAAGCTCCCGTGAATGGATGCTGCGAACCGGAGATGCAAAAAGACAGAGCGCACGTGAGAAAGCACAGCTTTCAGATCTGTTTCGGATGCAGGAGTCATGCAAGCGCTTCTGGCAGGGTTGCCTTACCACGTTTCCATCGAGGCCCTCCAGGTAAACCACCCAGGGGTGAGGGTAGGCACCTGCACAGCAAGAAACTGGCCCCGGATCGAATTGCCCGACGAGGACATGTCGGGCACCTCACACAGAAAGAAGGCTACCTACCGGTCACTGAGAACCTCACCCCCCACCTGCGCATTTTCCTTTCACTCTAAGTGTTGCTGTACGAGCCGAGTACTAGTCCACTGAGCTGAAAGTTTAGCCAAGATGCGAAAAACGAGCACTGGCCAATCGCTTAAGAGCCTGGCTCAGCGAGATTTGTTTCAGCTTCTTTGGCCATGCCGGGAGTTGTCCGTGTGGTGGAAACGATGAGACATTCTGCTGCAGAAGTTTCCATGTCCCTGCCACGACATGTCTGGTTCGTGCAAGAAGCAGGAGCCGTATGTAGTACGTCTCCTCCTGGAACTCGGCACAGAACCTGGCCCAGCCCCAGCACACACGACACACACACACACCCAAGGAACACACAGCAACTACCGTAGCACAAGATCACGCTTCGACCCAGCGGCTTCCCCAGGACTTCCACATCATTGCCGAAATTGCCGCCCACACTGACTTCGGAGCCCTTGTTCTCTATCCTCAGGGCGAGCAGATGTGAAGGAACGATGATGTGGAACAGTTTGCAACTGTCCTCACACAAGAGCTCTCCCCAGTCCCTAGTACCGTTTCCTCTCACCGATGTTTTGCGATCCTTAGAGGCCCCCAGTCAAGATGACATCTACGGTTCCGAAGCGTGCCGCCGGACCAGGTGCCCACATAAGCCAACGATCATCAAAAAGAGCCGAAAGCTTGATTCCCCCGACTTGGCCTGAAGCTGGTTGCAGCATCTTCGGAGTTGAGCATCACCACCAAACGATCTTTCATGCCGTTGACAAACTCGCCGGAAGGATCTTGTAGAACGAATTTGCGGCCGCCCAGGAAAATTACGGCAGCATCCTGAACGAAAGCAGCTCTGTCGCTCTTTGCTCGGACGGACCCCTCCACCTCCCGACGAGAGACCGTCCGTCTACTCTTGGGTGGCTGGTATCCCGAAGGATGTCGCTTCTGCCCTTCTCAGCGAACCCCCAATTCTGGAACCCTTGCATCCGAGAGCTTGGAAAGGCAGACTACGCTCCAAGCTGTAGCTGGTGCCTGTTTGGCATCCTCAGTAAGCCGGTACAGGAGTGTGCCAACATCGCCGGAGGTGGTACCAACCCCGTCGAATCTCGAAATGCGCCTCCAGTCAGCATCAGTCAGCAGAGAGTTCCGGTAACGCAACACACAGTAACACACAACCACCTAACCACCAAGGAAAGCGCGCTCAGCCATTTTGACTTAAGTCCAGGCCACACATCCTGCAGAGCCGCCCCTCCTGGCGCCTGCAAACTCTTCGTGAAGGCCTCGAAACAAGACCCGAGACGGCCGACAGATGAGACATGATGAGACTACCGTACCAAACCAGACAACATCAGATGACACAGTACCGTACCATACAGTACATTGCGCGCATACCTACATACATACATACATACATACATACATACATACATACATACATGCATACATGTCTAAATTTACTCTAAACTTGCTATATATTCATCTGCAGGCAGCGAGGTTTCCATCTCACTCATGTAACCATGTAAACTTGCCGCTCAGCCGAATAGAAGCGTCTCTCGCAACTCTCCAAAAAGAACTGCAGCAGCCGCGACAGTGCTCGATGTAGGACCTGCCTGCGCCATAGGAAGCGCATCATTGAGGAGCGCCTCCATGCCAGATTCCGTCACACGATTCGGTGGGCAGACCATGTCCAACCTCCTGAGCTCTAAGCACGAAGCGATGATTGCAAGATGACTTTCTGGTGACAACAAATCCGTTCCCTCGACCTTTCCGAGCTCCTGGCAATCGCACCGACTGCCGCGAGATCCCATCTTTGAAAGCTGCCATCACGGCTTCTGCAGCTTGATCGACCATGAGCTTGGCCTGCCGGGTGCTCAAGTCGGCGCTACTGCTACTGCTACTGCTGCCACCGCTGCTGCCGCTACCGCCGGCTACGGCTACTGCTCATGCTACTGCTACCACTGCACCACCACCACCACCACGACCAACTCCACCAGCAACACCACGTCCACCACCTGCCATCACAACCACAACAATGACCACGACCACTACCACGACGACGACTACAGCTACTATCAACAATACTCCTGCAATGCTGCTGCTACTGACTACTGCTACTACAAATACTACTCCACCGTACTAGCTGCTACAGCTACTGCTCCTGCTACTCTTACTGTTACTGCACGACGACGACTACTACTACCACCACTGCTAGTTCTGCTACTCCTACTACCACTAGTACTGCTGCTACTACTACCACCACCACCACCACGACTACTACTACTACTACGACTACTACTACTACTACTACTACTACTACTGCTGCTACTACTACTACTACTACTACCACTGCTACTACTACTACTACTACTACTACTACTAGCCCCCCTCCTCCGCCCTCCCCCTCCCGCCTACCAACTACTTGGCGCCTAAACCCATCATCCTCATCATCTTCTTCCCCCGCGGCGAGAATGAGTCCTCGCCCAGCGCGCGCCTACAGTGCTTTGCACCGGCCGATCTGCAAGACATGGCACGTATGCCCTTCGGATGGCTTACTTACTCAATCAAAAGTGAGAGTACCCATACGCAGTACAAGAGTGCACTCGTCAGAAGGATGTTTAAAGCGTTTGATGGCCCCTCAGATCTTCCTTCGGAAGTAACGACCAAGACCCTTCGCACCGGTAGCTGAGCTGTCTTTCGCAGCCCTCAGTCCGACAAGTGGAGGCCTATGTCCTGCAGGAGTCGCAGCCATAGCATGGCCATGTTGTGATGAATCCGAGGCTACACTATCGGATTGATGTGAAAGTGCTGCAGTCGTCAACGAACAAGTACGGACATCATCATCATCATCATCATCATCATCATCGCTGGTTTTGACTACAACATGACGAAAGTACTGTAAGCACCGAGTAAAATGCAAGTGATCTTGAAACGTACGTCATCAATCCCCCAACCGCACCCGACCCCGCCCCCCCCCACCCCCCACCCCTCAACATCCCTCAACAGCGGTGGGTGGTGTTGGAATACGACATCACGAAAGGACTGTAAATGCCAAGTAATTAACATGGATGTGCTCTTAAACAGTGATTAGGAGAGGTAGTTGGTAGGGGGGCACCTACTACTACTA